GTTGCAGCACGCCAGTTGGTTGGAGTGCACCGAGTCTCGGATTTCAGCAAATGCTGAAATGCCCAGGGCCTCTGAGTTAGTTAGGCCCTGGGCACTCGAACGTGAGGCCGACAATGCATGCTGGGTAGAGAGGCCGAAATGCCAAAGGGAAAATCGGCCCACTATCTGAATCTGGCCGCAGGCCTTGAGAAGAGAGGCGCAACTGCATTACTCCGGGGCCCAACTGTATCGGGAAGGTTTCAGCCTCTGGGTCCCGGTCACAAGCTGAAGGGAGGCCGCCCACATGCTGCATTGGCATATAGGCAAGCAGGGCGAGGCAGCAGGCATCTTGGCCAATGCTGGCATATGCGGGCACGCTGCGCAGATGCAAGTGTGCTGCGCTATGCAGAGCAGCGCTGCGCTAAGACAGGGCAGGCCAGCGCTAGGCGGTAGGGAGCTGCCTGCGTGCAGGGCACTGGCGGTCATAGCCGGGCCGCATGAGGGTGCAGGGGAGGTGAGGGCGAAGTTGGTACTTCGGAGGTGAAGGGCACTGTGTGGGTAACAAAGGAGAGTGTGGGGAAGAGGACACGTACCTGGTGATGGTGGAGGTCTGCATTGGTGTTGACATCATCACTCGCTGGTAGTCAAGTTGTCTGGTTGCTGTTCATTGCTGTAGTTGTAGGATAGGCGGTAGAGTAGATAGGGCGCCTGGCGCCATTCACAAGAGAGAGCTACATTTGGGTTATGCTGTTGGTGTTGCGCTGTTGGGTATGGACATTGACTCACGATTCTTCTGTATCATTCTCAATGGGATGGTTACTCGGTTCCATGTGCTATCTGCTTTGGCTTTGAATACTTGGACTTCAGTGTGATTTTGCATTCTGGATTTATGTGCTTCGTTCATACTCATGTTCCTTGCATGTGGCTTCACTGGGCAGCAAATGTGGCTCCACTTGGCAGCAAACCAAATGTATCTGGACCTTTCCAAGGTCCGAAACACACAAAAAAATGTTCAATCAGTCTGAATGAATCCTGTCCTGTCTGCCATCCAGATACATTTTCAATGCAAGGGTGGGCTAACGGCAGGATACTTGCTGGAATGGACGTTATTTTTTCCGCATCTACTGAAAAAGTGTTTCAGGCCCAAGATGCAGATGTGACAGGGGTCTTCTAAGGAAATGACACAGGTAGCAGTGACACAAGAGACATTTAGTCACTGAGAAGCCGCCCCAAAGTGTACCTGAGCGATTTCCCTTTTTTTTTTTTTTAACAAAAAGAGAAGAAAGTGTACCCGATTTTCTTTTTTCTAGTAAAAAAAAAAAAAAAAAAAAAAGTTATTCACAACACGCGAGAGAAGATCACCTAACCAGGTACACTTTCGGCATTAAGAGATACTGACCGTAGATAGCAAAGATCAACGGCCGAAATCTCCTAATCCGTGCAAGTGGGACCTTGCCCCAGGCCCCCAGGGGGCCTTGACCCACTACGTCCGATTTACGCTTGTGCTCCTCCGTTATCGCTGCCGTCCGTGACATCCGTCAGTCGCTGATACAGTAGCATATCCACTGCTAGTGTAGATTGTCTTTGTTTTCGTGGAGGCAGCTGCCCATCGGCCAGTAGAATTTGTTAAAAATAATTTGTTGGCCATTTAGTTAGCCACTTTGCTTTGGCGCTAAGCTTCAATACTATGGGTTTTTTATGGGGGGGATGTTTTTGAAGCTTCGCGCCTTGCTATTTTTTTTTTGCAGAAATTGAGAATATTGCGATTTCCGTGGAAGACTGCAAACAGGCCGGCGGGAAGGTCGCATGCAGATGTACCGGGTTGGTGGAAGTGTGGATGCATAGGGTGTAGTGTGGATGCATAGGGTGTACTGTCATGATGTCTATGTCAGGTCCCGTGGATAGCATTGTTTATGCGTTTTTAAATGAGAAAAGAATGCCACACACCGTTTTAAACGATGCTAGTGTGTCGAGGCCCCAGTACAGCTCATAAATAAATGGCACATTGTCTGAAAATGGATTAGTCATTACTGTACAGTGTACAGGGAATAGAGCAAATGCGAAATGACCGTTTGCACGCCAAACGTTCGAATTTCAAAGTTCATTTCGAGTTTAGGGTTCTCCCTTTCTTGCTGCTGTTGTTGTTGGTGGTGGTGGTGGTTTTTGTTTTTTGTTTTTTTTGCTGTTGTTGTTGTTGTTGTTGGAGTTAGTTTCCGACACGTGTTGAGCTCCCCATGAAGGTAGGTGCCCCTCCGTCAGAAAGGGGTTTGGCACCCCTTCTTCTCTGATGGACAGCCACCAATGATGCTTTTATTTGTGCAAAAAACTTGAAAAAAGTAAACTAAGTTGAAAGAACAGAACAACAACACACACACACACACAAAAAAAAAAAAAAAAGGTTTGAAATCTGAAGGGAAGGCAATGCATGTTATTTACTCGTTACCGCCAACTCTTTTCTTCTTCTTCTTTTTTTTTTTTTTTTTTTTTTTTTTTGGGCTGCCAACAGTGGAATTGAGCAAATGCACATGGGAATGCAGTGTTTGCATGTGTGCCGAATGTTCAACGGTCATTTTGTGTTTTGTGCATTTCTTCCAAAAACATTTTTGGGCATTTCTTCCAAAAACATTTGTAAAAAGGGGGCGCGGCGGCCAGCGCCCGGAGTGCCCAAGTTAGCGCTAGCAGTTTAACGCTGCTCTGGTCCCTCGCGTAGCGCACCGCCAGGATGCGCTAGCGAGAGCGTAGCCTCCTCGGTCGGCAATAACCGAGCAACCAACCCGCGTGGGAAGGGAGGTAGGCGCCACATGGACCGGCCACATAGCCAGTCAGTGTTATCATCACGAGAAGTTGATATACGCGTACATGTGTTGTAAGAGAAGGGTGTCTGGGCGAGCGCCACACACGGAGGCGCCCGCTTTTGACGTGAACATAGCGAGTAGGAGGAAGGAGAGGGACAAGAATAGCAACACTAAAGGCTCAACAGGAGTCAGCTGAGCGAGGTATCAAGGATGGACCGGGGAAACCGTCAGGCTCGTCCGGAGGCAAACGGGGTGCCGTTATCTGAAGAAGACCGGATACGACTGCTAATAGCGAAATGTTATGAGGATGGCGTTTTCCTAGAGAATTAACGCCACAGAGAGTTTGTCATGGAGAACGGTATTCGCATTTTCAAGGTTAATCCGCAAATCAACAGACTAACCACGGCGTGGCTCAAGGAGAGGACAGTGACGGCGATTTTCCAGGGAGAAGCGAGAGACGTACCGATGAGGACCAGAGAAGACCTGATTCGGGCATACGAGAACGGCTGGCTAAGGAAGAAGCCGTTTGCAAGAGGGTTCAAGAGAGGGAGGGTCCACGGAGAAGGGCCCAATGTGATGTCATACGTTGCTAAGTCGAGGGAGATGGCTCAATGGCTAGTGGCAAAGGCAGACGATGTGGTGGTGATTAGAGGAGTCGAGTATAAGATGCTATTTAAAGCATGGATGACAAGGACAGAGCTAGAGGAGCGGAGAAGACAAGATGATGAAACTAAGTTCTGGGTCGTAGCTCTGAGAGTACCATTGCGTGCTATGTTCCATGTGGGCGATTTGATTACCCAAGTGTTGGGCCCTATCATTACACGTCACCCCCCAGAGCCAGACGCCACACGCCCGAAGCTTATGAATTTGAAATTCGAACTTGCAAGGGAAGCGGAAGAAAGGTTTGAGGCGATCCTCGCAATGAAGCTCGACGATGCAAAGTTATACAACGTACAGCTTGTCAATAAGAACAAGCCATGGTGCACTCGGTGCAAATGGTGGTTCCATACGGAATCGGACGGCTGTCCAAGAGCCGATGAAGCCTCGTCGAGTGAATAGGATGCAGTCGGAGGTCGCAACCGTGGCCCTCAACAAGGCGAAGTGGTATTCGACTGCGGGATCAGATCGGCGGCCAGAGATCAACACATCGTTCCCTCAAGTGGAGGAGAGTTTAGCGAGGCAGCGACAAGAAGACAAGGGGGGTTCGGCCACCTAGCAAGCAGACCACGAGATCGAGCGGCCGCTCCGATGGGAGATCTCCCAAGTATGCAGCAACCCGTGCAACATGGACTGAGAGAGCTATATCAGTCGGCACCGGGGGAGCACTCGAGGCAAGCAGATATCCGATTAGGATCATGGGTATCAATCCCAGGTGCCAGCGATCTGTACCTAGCGGCCACGAATACTCTTTGTTCGTGGCAACAACCACAGAACGGGGCAGCCGGATACGACCACTGGACGAATCATGCAATCAGTGGTCTACAAGGAGGAAGTCAATGCCTCTGGCCAGGGCACCACCCTGGCCAGGGGCAGGGCCAATCGGCGTTTTCGAGACGAGGACAGGAGATGTTAGGCCCTCTACCAGGGGTGGTAGAGAGAGTGGTGGGAATTGACGTCTCCGGCGATGGAAGAAACTAGAACGCCATGATTCAGGGTCAGTCGTCAATTCCCCAGCAAGAGCACAGTGGAACTTCCCAGAGGGAAGGAGGGGATGTAGGTGGCTCGCAAAATCCGATCCCGAATGTGGTAATTACTCGTTACGTGGGGGAGCAGCAACCGGAGGAGAAGCTGCTATTGCCTCTTATCTGTACTCTCCTCGGACAGGAACCGTACATTCTCAGACTGGTAAATAGGCTGGGGGGACAGTCTTACCATCTACGTCCTTATGCGGGGTTCCCACTCCAAACCTGATCGAGTCTAGAGTAAGGCAAACTTATGCTGACCACTTTTGCTTTTCGTAGAGGATCCTATGCCCAAGCTCACGGTGGATACACCGGTAGGTAAACGCCTGAAGTTCTTCATTCCACTGAGAGATGCAAGAAATTTCGATGCAACACTGGGCGGGCTTGCCATCGGTAGGGTTAACGTGTATGCCCCTCCGCCTACTACTAGGAGTTCCGGGAGACGAACTTGATAGTGTGCTGGTAGAACCAGCCTGAGGGATCTCTGCTTCCATTCTCGGAGCTCTGAATGAACGTATGCCACTGAACCGGAACTTGGAATCAGGTTTTGTCCCGGAAGTTTTCGCGGAAAAGTGGCAGAACACTAGCCCGTTGCAGGAGAGGGAAGGTACCGTCTAGTCAGATCACGTCCAGATCCGAGTGGAAAACGAGAAGCTAGCCACCAGGGATGGGGAAAATTAAAGTAGGTACATGGAATGTGAAAGGACTGGGGGATACCGGGGGAAAGCAAAAGGGAAAGCGGCTGAAGAGGTGGATTCAAGAGAGAAGAGTGGACATCATGTTCCTACAAGAGACGAAGTTGTCAGAAGCTAAATTAGCACAACGCACGGATTGGTGGGATGACCCTCAACTCTGGTCCTCGGCACGGGGCACTAGAGGAGGGATGACCATCCTAGTCCAAAAAAGCTTGGAGGAAGAGCTCATTGATTTTGACTCGGACTTATGGGGTAAATGGGTGTGGTTAAAACTCCTGATTGATGATGTTGAGAGAGTAGTAGCTACGGTCTATGCACCTAACGAGCCGAAAGATTTAAATCTCTCCCTTACTGCTTACCGAGGACAAAAAATATAATAATAGGGGGAGATTGGAACTTGGTGTGCATTCAGAAGCCGAAGAGGGCCTGAAAAAGGATAGAGAAGTTTTTTCTCCTGTGGAGGGAAGCGTGGGGCCTGACGGACATCTTCAGGGAGCTATACCCCTTAACCGAAGACTTCACGTGGTTCTCAAGCTCGGCGGCTGCGGCAGGAGCAATTGTGCCACGTGTTTTACTCAGTCCGCCATTGTTGTCCAATTGTGTCATGCGGGCATGTCGGACCATAAACCAGTAACTCTGAAGGCCAGAATAGAGAGACGGGCGGAGCCCAGAGGCCCAGGATACTTCCGGCTAACTCTGCAAATTTGGAGGACGAGGGCTGGCGGAACTGGACCAACCAACAGTGGATTTCTTGGAAACAGGCGAGAGTGGTTTTTGACACATATGAACAATGGTGGGATGCAGGACTCCGCATCATCTCGTCGAAGTTTGAAGTGTTCTCATCGATCGCAGCCTACATGAGGAACAGAGAGGAAAGGAGGTTAAAAGAAAGAGTGGAAGAGGCAGAGAAAAGAACGAGGGTACACCTGATTTCGAAACTCGCATGGGCAGAGGAGAGGGCGGCCCGAATCAACGAATGAGAGCAGTACCAAGTGAAAAAACAGTCTAGATGGGAGACAATCCTACAAGAGAAAGGTGTAATCACTAGAAACACGATGACGAAGGAATGTTTCCGCAGACTGCTGCCAAGCTGCAAGAGGGTCCAAAAGCACAAACTCCAGCATCCACACCTGATGGGGTTGCCGACAGCACACACAAACAAGGATCTGTGCAAATATGCAGTGGACTAGTTCAGGGATATCTTGACGACCCATAAGACCTTTTGGAACTGGGAAATAGACCTTATAAAAGAAAGTACCTTTTGGGACGTGATCACGGTCAAGGTTACAGAACGGGGAAGGAGAGAGATGGATAGACCGATAACAGTAGAAGAACTCAGAGAAATCATCAAAACCATGGGGAAGGGTAAAGCGTCATGCGATGATGGCTTACCAGTGGAGTTCTTCCTGGCCTGTTGGGAGGTGCCGGTGTACAATTGTATAACGGTATCTTGACAAGGGGGCAGTTGGGGAAGTCGATGACCAGAGAAGTAAGTACCTTAATGTATAAGAAAGGAGATCGGTCAGAGGTGAGAAATTGGAGACCAATATCGTTGTTGAACATTATCTATAAGATCCTAGCAAAAGCCTTGGCGCGTAGATTAGGGAAACTGTTGACAAGCTTGGTAGGCAGAGACCAGGGGGCCTTTGTCCAAGGTCGGTCTATTTTTGATAACATAGCAACAGCGATGGAAGCGTTGAAACTAATAGAAGAGGAAGACCTGGACACTGTCGTCCTAATGATTGACCTCAAGAAAGCATATGATCGGGTCAACTGGACGTTCGTGATGACCACATTGAGAGTCTTGGGCTTCAGAGACCCATTCTGCAGTTGGGTTAAAGCGCTGTACGCGTTCGCAACAGCGGTAGTACAAGTAAACGAGGTCTGTTCTGAGGAATTCAAACTGTCGGAATGCCCGTTGGCCCCCTTGCTATTCATCCTCCAGTTAGAGGTACTCATGTGTGCCATCAGAGCCAATCCGAGCATTAGAGGACTAGAGCTGGCGGAAGGGAGGGACTGCAGAATCAAGGCACTTGCAGACGATCTCCTGGCAATCTCGGCCAACTCCAGGGACTCTTTGGAAGCACTGCGGGCCTGCCTCCAGAAGTATGGCACCTGTCCGAAGCGGCGATAAACTGGAACAAGTCCAACTTTTTCCTCCCAGAGGAATATACCAGTTTCAAGCCCAGTGGGGAATGAAGAGAGTCCCGGTGAACGCGGCAGAAAGGTTTTTGGGCGTGCTGGTAGCACTCCAAGATTGCTCCTCTTCGCAAGAGCTCCTCCTGCAAGAAAGAGTACTGGCCAGAATAAGGAGTTGGGGAAGGGGCCCCCATCTGTCGCTGATGGGGAGAGCCCTCGTCACCACAGTCTCCACATTTTCACTACTATGGTTCGTCCTCAGGGTCTGCAAGTTATCGAACGAAACACTTGAGCACATCAGAGCGGCAACCAGGAAGTTTATTTGGTAAGCCACAAGTAGAGGAAGACCAGGGCTACATAACTAAAGTAGCTTGGGACACGATCTGCAGACCTAGGGAGGAGGGGGCCCTGTCTATTACAGACCCGGGTTCTCAGAACTTGGTACTCTTGTCGAGTTGGATCCAAAAGGTGGCGGAAGCAGAAAACGCCCCAAACTGGTGCCACTTGGCCGAGCGCATTCTGCAGAAGGAATGGGGCCTGAGCAGGCCTTCAGACGTGTGGGTCTCGATGATGATGGACTCCTTCCTGAAGAAGAAGGTCAAATTGAAATTATGGGGAAATGTGCTGGCTGCATGGAGCAAGACAAAACCGGACGTGAGGGTGATACCTCAATCAAAGGACGAGGTGATGAATCAACCTCTTTTCGACAATTATCTCATCAGAAACTTTGAAGGCAGTTGTTTCTCAGAAGCAAGGTCTCCAGGGAACTTTGGACAGAAATGGGTGCAGCGGGGAGTCTCCGTGGTGGGGGACCTGTGAGATGAGAGCACGAATCAGTGGCACTCCTCAAGCAAGTTGAAAGAGAAACTCGGACAATTACCAATGCAGGAAGTAGGCACCAAATTATAGCTGCAATTCCGAGGGATTGGAAAACCCTTCTGGGACCGGAGGGGGTAAACTTCTTTGGAACCTGGCTGAAACCGGTGTCGGATCAAGGGCGGCAAACATTCCTGCAACTCAAAGGCTGGCATGAAGATGGTAGTGGCAAGTGCGAAGTAGAGGAGTATAATAGGATAGAAGAACACAGTGATATCCTACCGCTATACCAGTCAACCACTAGATGGGGTTTGGGGGGGTTGGAAGAAGTCAGAGTGCGCGCGGTAAGACTGCAGGGGAGGGGGGAACCGTCAGTCTACAAGTTGGTAGCAGGAGGGTCTGCAAAAAGGCAGCTGACGATTGATCCTCTGATGTGGGGATGGAGTTCGGGACCAGAAGTTGTATCGGACCTCAGGAACATGTCAACCAAGCTCATAAGGAACAGACTCTCTCCTAAGGAGAAGATGATGGCAAAACTAGTGGCGGCACGATGGGAGACAGCACAGCCGACCTTACTAACGCCGCAAGGAAGAGAACGCTCGAAGTTGTGGAGGCAATTAGCAACCATCCCGTCTCAGAGGTATGCATCTCTCCTCTGGCGACAGTCACACAATGCAGTGCCCACAGCAAGATGGTTGGAAAACAGGGGTATGAGCGTCAGGCTAGAGTGCGATCGTCGTAAGTGGCCGTTTAAGACTATGACCCATCTTTGGTGGAACTGGCCCAGATCACAGAAATGGTGGAACTGGTGGTTCCAACACTGGACCAAGATGTCTGGGGATTTCATGCGCAGGGGCAAACGGTGGGTGATGTTTGGGTTTCTCCCAGACGGCATGTCAAGTAGTCAGGGATGGGGATATATTGGGCAGGTGGCCCGAGCGGTCATGATGTGGTTGATTTGGGCGGATAGGAATGGCAGGCGCTTTCAAGACCAAGGGCTGGAAGAAGCACAGGCGGAGCGAATGTTCAAAAATATGCTCAGAGTGGAAATCAGAGCAGACTGGAGGAGGAAAGTCCTGTCAGGCAATAGAAGGTCTGGTCTGAAATGGTTTGCAGAAACCTGTGCAAGAGCGGGGGGCTTGGCCTCTTTCACAGGCAATAAGCTAGTGATATCACAGTGGCTAGATGGTTAGCGAGGTAGGAGTTAGTCCGGAGAGTAGGACGAGCCAGGGCACTCGGTTCCTGTCGGAAGTCACAGGAGACCGCAAACGGGTTGGTAGGGTGGGAGAGTGCCATGGGGGTTACAATGGAACAGAGTTCCACTCGGCCGAACTGGGCCGGGGCCAGACCATCGTAGGCCTGTGTATTTAGCAGCAAAAAAAAAAAAAAAAAAAGGACAGAAGGGGCGATAACGAGCTCCCACAGTTGCAAAATAGGCAGTAGGACACTACCGTCTTCCCCCGAACATAACGCACCCTAAAAATGACTGTATACAAGCCACATTTCCGGCCAGATACAGCCAAAATAAGGGTGCGTTGTGTTCGGGGGAAGACGGTAGTCAGAAGTTTATGTTGTAGGGAAGTCCAGTAAAGGTAGGTGGGGCTTAAGGTGAGTTTATTCCATAAGCGAAACTGGCTAATGCTGCCAGGATAACTTCCGGGTGGAATTGTGAGGTCCCCGGCCTCGATCACGTGTGTTTTTTAATGAATCGTGTGAGTTGGTTTAAAAGTAATAATAATAAAAAAATGCAAATAAAAAAGAAAACATTTGTAGGCGGGAAGCAACTAGTATGTGGGGCGAGGTCCCACTAGCAAACGAGGATTGGATTAAGCTCCTGAATCTGGATGTGCTCTGTGCAGAGATGCAGAAAAGCAGTT